TTGCTCCGTTCCATCTCCGAAGCTACTTCGTGACCAACAGATCGATGATGAGGAGCACGCCGTGCTTGCTCGATCCTATTCCATCTCCATGCATGAAACACACTTTATTTAGGCAAGTTCACTCATGGTAACCGTGACGTACTATTGTTCACGCTTTTCTTTTCCTACGTGCATGCTTCTCTATCGATCACAAAGAGCTATTGAAACTTTGGTTGTCACTTTGGTTTGCATACGTCGTCGTCCAACAAATGTGTGTATCGATCACAAACCCAAACGTATACTTAACTAATTTTCATGGCACGTCGCTGCGGCGTTCAGAATCGGCATTATTCTCTCGTCGCTCGCTAACTATTATAAGAAAGAAAGCGCCAAAGGAATAGAAAAAAATTCCAGTGTATACGCGCCATCTATAAGCGCCATGCGTTTCTATGTATACGGCGGAGCACCGGCGCCCTCGTTCGCCCTAGGGTTTATACGGCGGAGCACCGCCGCCCTCGTTCGCCCTAGGGTTTAGGGTTTATACGACGGAGCACCGCCGCCCTCGTTCGCCCTAGGGTTTAGGGTTCCGCTGCCCTCGTTCGATCATTTTTGGTGGGTGAAGGTTGGTTTGCAGGTGGTTGTGGATGATATAGCTGAGTCTATGAAGGGTGTAGCAGATGAAGTGGTTGAGAGTGTGCTTGAAAATACAGTTATGGAGATGGCGAGGGATATGGCATGCGAGGTGTGGTTTGAAGAGGATGCTCCCGATGTTTGGGAGTTCCAACGCCAAGGGTCGACTTCATGTCTATTTTTTATCGATGTAACGTGTGTTGTTGTATTTGTTGTAAATTTGGCGTGTTGTTGTGAACCTCTTCGAGGGTTCCAATCATTGTAAACATTATTTGGAGCTGTTTACTCGACAAGTCAGGATGCAGTGCGATTTTGTTGTCACTTTGGTTTGCAGCAACGCCCGCCTTTTCTTTTAGGCGAGGCTCATCGTTTATTGTTCTCAGAAACTTGACGCGCAACGATGCCCCCTTTCTTTCAGGCGAGGCTCGCTATTTTCTGTTTAATAAAACCTAATGCGAAGCGACGCCCCACTTTTGTTTCAGGCGGGACCACCGCCAAAACCTACTCGCTTCCTAATTCTTATCATACAAACCAACCTTCACCCATCAAAACGTACTCGTTTAGGGTTTAGGGTTTATACGGCGGAGCACTGTCACCCTAGAATTGCGTCCGTGACCGAGGGGCAAGATTTAATAATGCATATTTTTCGTAGATTTTACGCATGTAAGCAAAGATTTGACGTACTATATATTGGTTTTGTTTTTTGAAGCTAGATGGCTGACCCGAGAAACATGGATGAGGAGGAGTTGATGATGAATTTGATCAACACTGGCACTCAAGTTGCCGGTGATGATCGTGCTAAAAATAACGTGCAAGAGGATGTAGATGACGGGAGTCAGTACTTAGCTCTTGAACAAAATGAGCAACAACATATTGGCCAAGTATATATTTTTTATTATTAGCTATATATATTATCATATGTCTTATGTGTGCTCATGACATTAAAAATAATGTTTATGTTTTGTAGCCCTCTGGATCGACATCAACAACTACAACGAAGAGTAAAAATGTTCGAGGTCCCAAAAAGCCATTGGAGGGCCGCTTCATCATCTCGGAGTTCAATGTGGATACAGGCGAACCGGGGGGCCAAATAAAATGAAATTTGTGCACCACTGTGGTTACCTTGTACGGGACTGGCTCCCGATCAGTACCCGCGAATGGAAGAAGAAGACCAATGCTCCTCGTATCAGTTTTGTCTCCGATCGTGACAAGACGTTAATTTGGAAAGATGTCTTGGTACATTTCACGCTCCAAACAGATGGTTATGATGATATAATAGATGGTGATGAATTGAAGGAGCGAGTTAGGGATTGGGCAATGAAGAAGATGGCCACCCAGTTTCAGACTTGGAAGAAACACCTATACACGACGTATGTCAAGAAGAACATAGCACCAGATTTTACTGTCCCAGGCCCGGTCTCAAAGCAGAGGTCCTATTGGGATGAGTTTGTACAGTACAAGACGTCGGAAGAGGGTGTGAGTCGGGTGATAAAGAACCAACGTAATGCATAACAAAAGATATGTCCAGATTCTATGACAAACTTAAAAAGAATCAAGAAGCAAGGAGAAACCCGGAGAAACCATACTTCTTCATAGCTCCAGATATTCTAAGAAAAAAGGTGGCTTCTTACTAGCAACAACAGCGGGAATCTCGTAAGCCGTCCAAATCAACGTTAACGGACTATGACCGCACTCTCACCAAGTCAATTGAGGCGGCACAGAAAAAGAAGCGGGCAGGGAAAGGAGTTGCCCAACTCGGACAACAATCGCACCAATTAGTCCCCCCGCTAGTTGTTGGTAATGAATATGGTTCGAATTTAGGATTAATGCATCAGACAAATATACCTCCGGATGTCGATTTGGATCACCTTGGTGAATTTATTGATGAGACTGGTCTCGACCTTTACTAGATGTTTGGTGATGGAAACATTGAGAGTGCGGCGGAGGTTGATATTTGGAAGAAAAAATTTGTACTAGGCCAGAGTCTATACAACCCTCAAGCCTTATCTGATCTGGGGACACAAATGTACCTGCTAAACAAGTGGTACATGCAGGCGTCTACCGGTGGAGACTTCTGCGTTGGTGTCAGAATTAGAGACGAACATTGGTTCCATGGCGATGATGTTATGTATGTTGACTTTACAGAATTTCATCAACTATGCCACCTGACCTCTCTGGACAAAGTTATCATTAGCTGCTATTGCCTGTAAGTAATAATTCTTTCGAGCTATTATTAAACTCATCATATGTGTGTATATGCATATAAATTATCCTAACAAGTACTATATATATGCAGATTTACAATGACAGAGCTCAGAAAGGTAGGCTGCAATGAAATTGGTTTTGTTGATCCCCATATAGTATTCAAAGACCCAGTTACTCCAAAGACTAATTGGAAGTCTGAGTCAGAGAGTAACCTCATGAACTTCTTAGTGAACCAATGCCACAAGAAAGATATACTCTTTCCCTACAACTTCAAGTGAGTGTTAATAATGTCGATCATCCTTAATGGCTCATATGTTGATTCTAGTTAATTAATGAGTGTTATGCGTTATATCCTATAAACACATGCAACAATCACTAGATATTGATGGACATCGATCTGGTGAAAAGTCACTTGATAATCTATGACTCGATGAGAAAACCACAATAAGACTACCAAGATATGATAGATATTATCCATAGGTAATTTCGGTATCTCTAGCAACTATATATACACACAAACATGATGATTAACTATATCTGATGACGTGGCAAATTTTTTATTGGGCAGTGTTTGGAAAACCTTTATTAAGAAGCAACACATGGAAAAATGCAAAGCGCCACTGAATGTAATCCCTTTGAAAGTAAGTCCCCTAAATCACATCATCTTTATTAATTAAACATATAGCTTTCACCGGATCACCAGATTGGATGACAAATCTTTTTCTCGTAAAGTGGTGTCTGAGGCAGGAACAGGGAAACAACTACTGTGGTTACTATGTTTGCAAGTTTATCAAGGTGGTCTCCCAAAAAACTCCTACAGAGAGACTCAAAGTACGTTAAAAATACACTATATATTCATTTAATTGTTATTATTATTGATTGTGTTACTATGTCTTTATATATATATATGTACATATATTAATTTATTTTTCTTTAATTCAAACCTGTAGGCTCGATGGTTGGAGGAAAAGGTCATACGGCAAGACCAAATCAAAGCAATTCAAGAGTCTATAGCTAGATTTTTTAATGAGCAGGTCATCGATTCCAAGGGCGAGTTCTACTTCGACCCAACACTGCCATGGAAGCCAAGCTAGAGGATGAGAGAAAACTTGTTATATCACAACAACTGTAATGCAATCTTTTGTAATATATGCACATAAAATAATATAATGTAAAATACACATATGCATGCATGCATGTAAATATATATATATATATTTCTATGCTTGAATTGTGTGATTTAATAAGTTCATTGTGCTTGAACCGAAACATACTATACGTGCGTATAAATGTATAATTAGCAGCGTACAATACGACTTCGAAAACCTATTTTGAAAAGAAAACAAAAAAATGAAAAGAAAAGAAAAAAAACCTTTAGTCCCGGTTCGTACTACCAACCGGGACTAAAGGTGCCGGCCATCGTAGCATGTCAGGAGGCACCTTTAGTCCCAGTTGATGTTACCCATCGGGACTAAAGGTCCTCCTTTAGTCCCAGTTCCTGACCCAGGACTAAAGGACCCCCTTTAGTCCCGGATGCTTGCTCCCGGGTGGGGAACCGGGACTAGAGGGGGTTCTTCACCGGAAGTAAAGCTCTGTTCTCTACTAGTGACACTTTGCCGCAATGATCGAACGGAATGATTGACTGAAGAAGTAGGTATAGGTCGTGCATTGCGTCAGGTGCATAATATTCCGCTGAGAACCTGTCGTTTTCATGGATGAATGAATAGCAGAAGGCCCCAAATAGTCGTTCACATGAAAGTTGTCTCTTGCTCCAGCTTCAATTTTGTGGCAATTATGTGGCGTTTGCCAACTTGTTTTCATCATGTGTGCCAAAATTTCGATCGCCAACTATATAGAAATTTGATTGAAAGTCACGGTTGCCCTGTCATCAAGAAGAATAATTGCAACAACAGTAAGTTGGAAAATGAAACACAACTGCATTTGAATTCAACTACTACTCCTCAACACAATTTCCTGTGCTTGGACATGGATAGCCTCTAGTCCAGTAGTAGGGATGGAATAGACCACACACGCACAACTATTTAGGATATATTTTGGACCAGGAAGTCACACAAAGACGTGACAGGGAAGCCTGCATTATTTGCCACAACAACTGTAGGAGTACTCAATGTTCAAAGTCAGTCATCTTCAATTATAGAATGATTGATCTCTCGTTTATTTCGCAGTGGAGACACGGACGCCGTAATCCCCTTAACATCAACAAGATACTCCATTGATGCTCTTGGCCTTCCAACTATCACCAGCTGGTATCCGTGGTATGATAAGAAACAGGTCAGCTTCATTATTCATTCTACTCAACCGGCCTTCCTCGATCATATGAACCTCATGACCCATGGACATACATCTCTGAATTCTAGTTAATTTCTAGTCACATTTCACGTCAATATGCAAATTACTATGGTATTCACACATCCTACAAGTCGACAGCTGTTAATAATCTGTGCTAATAATCATTTGGGATTTTGATTTTAAATAGGTTGGTGAATGGAGCCAAGTGTATGAGGGCCTGACCTTGGTGACCGTCCGCGGCACAGGTCACGAGGTTCCCCTCCACCGCCCGCGGCAAGCACTCATATTGTTCCAACAGTTCTTGAAGGGGGAACCTATGCCAAAAAATGGAACCGTGGCATAGTTATCATTTATTTTTATTGGCATACATAACGGGAAATAACTCAACAATAAATTGTGTGCAATACTTAGCACATTCAAGTATTTATTTCTTCCCAATGCATGTATATTGTACACAAGTTTTTTTTGCGAAACATATTGTACACAAGTTAAAATTTTAGAACAGCAAGAATAACGGCACACAAGATTCTTTGTTCTTCAGAACTACACAAGAAAGGACTCTTTGGTCTTCAAGATTGCAAAAATAATATGATAACTGGTTGTACAGTGCAAGGTATTTGCAGGGTGCCCAACTGCCCATACAGTCTTTAGATGGATGTAAAGACGACATTCCTCATCGGAGATTTATATGAAAACGTTTACATGGCATAACCCAAAAGGTTTTATCGTGGAAGAAAAGAACATAAGGGATGCCGCCTGTAGAAATCCATTGATGGGTTAAAAGTAACTCTCTAGATAGTAGTATTTGAAGTTGATGAAACGATAAGAAAGTTTACGTTTTAAAGAAAATGAGAAGGACAATAGCGTTTATGCAAAGCTCAAGAATGGAAAATTCACTTTCCACATCCTGTGAATAGATGACATTCTACTCATTAGTAGTGGTGTTAATCTGTCATTGGAGAAGAAGAAGTTTTGTCCTCAAATTTCAATGTGAATAATCTTGGTGAAGCGTCATTGGTTCGAGTAATCGAAATTCACCGAGATAGAAGAAAATGGCGTATTAGGACTATCGCAAAGGCATACTTAGAAAAGATTCTAAAGAAGTAAAGTATGCATGCGAGTAAACCTACGCCTGCTCCTATAGTCAAGGGTAATAGTTTTGGGAACTTTAAGTATTCCAGAAACCGATATGAGATCGATCAAAAGAATATGGTTCCATATACTTCAGTTGTTGGAAGCTTGATGTGTGTACAAGTACAAGTAAGAACTTACCCAGACGTAGTTTATGTATCCGGGATATTTTGGCAGAAGTCCAGTTCAGATATAGATCACTGGAATTGAGTTGAGAATGTCTTGCAATTTTGCAAAGTATCATAGGCCCCATGCTAAGTAAGAAAGAACAAGTACTCTCAAATAGTTGAGGGTACAAATGTTGAGCCATGGCGAAATGTGTAGTGAAATCCACAGTAGTTGCTAACACTTGCAGTTGGAGTATTATTGTGGAAAACTCCAAAGAAACAGTTGTGGTATCATCAGTGATGCATACCATAGTATAACTTGACATGAGACTTAAGGAACAGGTAAAAGGAGGTTAAGGAAATTTGTACCCGGATTTAACAATGGTAGACAACAATAATAACCATTTAAAGTAAGTTAACTCCTAAGACAATAGGTCGAGTGTGCTGCTAGACACATTGACACTAAGTTATATGTTGTAAAGGAGAAAATCCAGAATTATTTTGAAAGCATTGAGCACATAAGTACCGAGTAAGTACTTGTGGATCCGCTTACCAAAGGCTAACCACCCAGTGCGTTCAGAGAACACACAGTCGACATTGGTTTATGGGAAAGCCTATGATTTCTGGATACTAAGGGCCTAGTTGAGTATCTGTTTCAAAACAGAGAGGTGCATTATAGTTGTTAAATCTAATGGTAACTGACCGTGATGATGAAGCGTGCTCTATACACTGATCTGTGATGGAATGGGAAAAGATAAAGAAAGTTGAGTTTAAGTATGAGGTGGGATTAAGTGGGAGATTGTTAGTGTTGATCTCATCCGACTCGGCCCAACGGTCGACTCGGGCCTTGATCCAGTGCCCTGATTGGGGGCATCCAACCAAACCAAGGTTGGCGGGCCCCGTCGCGCTGTACTATATAGAGGGAGGTGGGAGTCAGGGCGCAAATATGAGGTTCACTACAGTCACCATGATCCCTACTTACTTCCCTAACCCTACCGATCAAGGGAGTTCTGAAGCGGCGGGAAGTGCCACCACCGGACCGCTGCATCGCGCCTGCACTGCGTCTCCACGCGCTGCTCCCTCGTCGGCGGCGCCATGGCCGCGACTGCGCTCGACATGTGGTACACCAAGCAAGTTCCCTATCTAAGTTATGCATTTACCCACTGATCTGCACCTAGATGTTCAAGAATTTCTATCACATGCTTCCTATCTACAAAGAGCTTATGGCAGCTGGCCTAAGGATATGGGTCTTCAGATCAGTTCGTTGCAGCTAGCGTTTTTCTTTCCTTTTTTGAAACAAAAAATGGGCACCAGGAGAGCTACCGATTATTTGCCTAGACAGCTGTTGCAGCAAACGGTGTGCTCTTATGCATGTGGAGGATTGGAGGCTGTTTGATAGGCAAAGTAGAAATTTAGAATACACGTGGTTTTCTCTATTCCAATCCGAATTGAATAATTTTCAATCAAATTATTGCATTGGCGCCCAGTGTATTTGATTGCATGCATAGAACTAGAAGGTCGTTACAGCTATCGTGTCACGCTTTGCTGCAATGATCGGACGGAATGATTGACTGAAGAAGTAGGTATAGGTCGTGCATTGCGTCAGGTGCATAATATTCCGCTGTGAACCTGTCGTTTTCATGGATGAATGAATAGCAGAAGGCCCCAAATAGTCGTTCACATGAAAGTTGTCTCTTGCTCCAGCTTCAATTTTGTCGCAATTATGTGGCGTTTGCCAACTTGTTTTCATCATGTGTGCCAAAATTTCGATCGCCAACTATATAGAAATTTGATTGAAAGTCACGGTGGCCCTGTCATCAAGAAGAATAATTTCAACAACAGTAAGTTGGAAAATGAAACACAACTGCATTTGAATTCAACTACTACTACTCAACACAATTTCCTTTGCTTGGACATGGATAGCCTCTAGTCCAGTAGTAGGGATGGAATAGACCACACACGCACAACTATTTAGGATATATTTTGGACCAGGAAATCACACAAAGACGTGACAGGGAAGCCTGCATTATTTGCCACAACAACTGTAGGAGTACTGAATGTTCAAAGTCAGTCATCTTCAATTATAGAATGATTGATCTCTCGTTTATTTCGCAGTGGAGACACGGACTCCGTAATCCTCTTAACATCAACAAGATACTCCATTGATGCTCTTGGCCTCCGAACTACCACCAGCTGGTATCCGTGGTATGATAAGAAACAGGTCAGCTTCATTATTCATTCTACTCAACCGGCCTTCCTCGATCATATGAACCTCATGACCGATGGACATACATCTCTGAATTCTAGTTAATTTCTAGTCACATTTCACGTCAATATGCAAATTACTCTGGTATTCACACATCCTACAAGTCGACAGCTGTTAATAATCTGTGCTAATAATCATTTGTGATTTTGATTTTAAATAGGTTGGTGGATGGAGCCAAGTGTATGAGGGCCTGACCTTGGTGACCGTCCAAGGCGCAGGTCACGAGGTTCCCCTCCACCGCCCGCGGCAAGCACTCATATTGTTCCAACAGTTCTTGAAGGGGGAGCTCATGCCAAAAAATGGAACCGTGGCATAGTTATCATTTATTTTTATTGGCATACATAACGTGAAATAACTCAACATTAAATTGTGTGCAATACTTAGCACATTCAAGTATTTATTTCTTCCCAATGCATGTATATTGTACACAAGTTTTTTTTTTTTGCGAAACATATTGTACACAAGTTAAATTTTAGAACAGCAAGAATAACGGCACACAAGATTCTTTGTTCTTCGAACTGCAGAAGAAAGGACTCTTTGGTCTTCAAGATTGCAAAAATAATATGATAACTGGTTGTACAGTGCAAGGTATTTGCAGGGTGCCCAACTGCCCATACAGTCTTCAGAAATCTTGCCACGGATAAAGCTATCCCTTCCATTGGAGCGAGCCCATGAACTTATAGCACATCTCTTTCCTTCTCAATTCATGTAAAAAGGTTAAGCTAGAGATACAATATTTGACACCCCAACAAGGTTTATGAACTAATAATTCTCACCTACCTACATTCGTATGGTAGTACTAAACCACCCACCAGGCAACAACACAACCACACCAGAACCTTGGGCCAACAGCTACAACTGTTACAGATACAAACAGGGTCATGGTGGACTTACATTCATTACCCAGGTGGAGTTACGGAAAGAACGGAAAAAAAAAGATGAAGTTGTATTAGAGCAATGATAATAATCCAGCCGGTATGATGGCTGTAAGGTTCCTTATAGCCTTCTCCTAGCCCACCCGTATAGTAGTTAGCCTTTCATTATAATACATGGCCCAATTTTCCGTCTCATAAAGTTTCTTGGTTCTTGTGTCTTAGCCGTGGCTGTAAGCTTATAATCCGTTTCTCTTCTCTCTCTTCTCCTCTCTCTTCCACCTCAGCATTTAACCAGCTTACAACCTGTTATTATACACTCTTACACGAGTAGGGAGCAAGGTATTGCCAATCCCAATGGTGTATTTCATTTTGACGTTACCTTGGTTGCCATGTCATCTATAGTGCTTTGAAATGGTGAATGAAACATCCGCTATCCAATGCTTGTTTCATTTTGTTATTTCATAAGCTACTCATAGCATTTAATACGCGATGTTCATGATTGGCTGATTGTTGCATGAAATGAAATTTAATGCCCCCAATGCTTGTTTCACACGGTTTCCAATTGTTGGAAACGGTGTGCTCCTGGTTTCATCCTTATGAAACCGTTCCCTCCAATTTCATCTCTAGTACGATGCCATATCATAAAAAATGGTGACATATCGTCTAATTAATGATTTTTCTCTCGAATATGCAAAAGATTTATGTATCATTGTAATTAAGAAAAGTTTAACCATTCAAACGACACGTTTCTGATGAGCACCCTAGGTGGTCTTACAGTTGTGACTGGACCTTCCTAGGGGTCAGCTTCACCCCTAAGTAGGGGTGAAAACGGTACGGATATTTTCTGACCGTATTCGAGACTGAATCCGTTTAGAGGGGTTCAGATCTGTCCGTATCCAAGTCTGAATATTCAACGACCGATACCGTATCCGAATACTCAAATCACATATTTATGATGTCAATA